ATTATTTCAGGGAGAATTGGCCCGTTTACTGTTAACCGTACACTTTAATAAAACACCCCCTAACACGAGGAGATGGAAGAAATCCAGGAAAAGAGAATGACTGAGGAAGAAAAACAGCATGGTATCAAATTCTGATAATGTTGAGAATCAACTTTTAATATTTGTAGGCATAGAAAGAGAGGTATGGCAGTGACAGAGAAATGGCTTGATCACCATACGTGAGGGTGGGGACCATGATAAAAGCTCATGGGGTGTTGAAAGATGGGAACACAAACACAGAAAAAGGGCACGAGGACAGGTCCTATGGATCTCTAGAGCTGGAAGAGAAAGGAAGAAAAACCCCGAGAGAGAGAGAGAGAGAGAGAGAGACTAGAGTATGGAGAACACTGTGGGGTCACACAAAAGAAAGAAATATGTTTCTCAAAATCCAACTGGATTCAGATATATCAGCTTTCCCTGCAAGATGAATTTGAACCAACTTCATTAGTTCCCTCTAAACCACTTGAATGTGTTAACAGAGAAGACCATGAGAGAAAAATAAAAAAAAAATAAATCTAACTAGATTGACTACTGATAGCCATGTCAAAGCATGCTCAACTCAGCTTTGCGCAGTGGCAATATAGTAGCCAATGAAGTCTATCAGAGGTGTGATTTATTGATAACTGAAAAACAAACCAAATCCGTATTCAACTAAACTGAAATGGGCAAATTTCTATAGGTGGCCCTGACTTACGACAGAGTTCCTTTCAGAAGCACCATCGAGAGTTGATCATGACCTAAGTTGAATCTATCTCATTTTGGGTGTCTTTATCACTAGTGAAAATGATATAAATAAGTAAATAAATAAATTCTAATTTCAACAGCCATAGCTATATTGGTTTCATGTCAGGCCAGGAGTGAATGCTACATTAAATCAATAAAAATACCAACCTAACTGCCATGAAACCAATTCTAATTCATGGACAGCCAATGTGTTATAAAATAGAATGGTTTCCTCAGGTTTACTTTCGGGTTTCATCTCTCTTTCTTTTCTTTTCTTCTTTCTCTCTCTCTCTCTTTCTTTCTTTTATTTGGCCTTTCTTCTGTGGTGCTGGTGGAGACTCACAGTGATCCTACAGGACACAGTAGCCTGCTCTCCAGCGGTGCCAATCTTTACACCAACAGACTCCCACAATGTGTCCCTGCAGAGCGGCTGGAGGGTTAGAAACGCTGACTTTTCAGTAGCACGCCGAGCAGTACACCATCAGTGGTTTGTGGGGTTTTTGCACATGGTAGGGATCAACACATAGCTAATGAACTAATGAAGGAAAAGAAGAGCAGCGCACCCTCACCTACTGAGAGCAGATTCCCATAGATCTCCAGCATCACCTCTTTGTACAGGGTCTTCTGCTCGGAGCTCAGTCTTTCCCATTCCTCCTCCGTGAAGACCACAGTGACATCCTCAAAGGTAACGGGCTCCTGGAATAAGCGTCAAGTCACTGCACAGAATGTCACCTCTCCCCGCAACAGCAGGTGCAGCAGAGTACCCTCCACATCCAGGCAAGGGGAGTGTGGGAACAGATGACAGCGCCGCATGGAGAACCACGCAGGCCTTAGTGACGCAACTGCTTCCGCACACTTTGCGCTTCTAAACAACAAACACTTTCACATATTGTTGTGGGGTAGGCCCCAACTCATAGACACCCTATCGAACAGAGTAGACGGCTGGAAATTGTTATGAAGCAGACTTCCACAACTCCGACCACACAGCCAAATACTGAATCACTTTCACAAGGGCTCCTGTCATGGAATAATTTGAAAATAATCTGCTTTATCATTCACTCACTTTAAGTACAGAGGTCCTAACTATGCATCGATCCAATACGGATTCATGTCAGACTTTGCCCTAAGTATCCCTCCCCCTTCCTTTATATCCAGTTTTGCCTTAATAAAGCTGAAATCACAAAACAGAACACCTTTTGTGAGTTTTGTGGGTTGTTCTAGTGTATATCACAGACAATGGAGTAATGGGGGTCAGCGGGTCAAAGGGGAGTGAGTACTGGGAAATCACAAGTTTGCGGCTGACATCCTAAAGAAGTAGAAGTAAAACGTGAATTTTAATCAGGTCAAAAGTGAATGAACTTTGGTGACACTGGGGGTTAGGCTATGGGATGCTAACTCGAAGTCAGCAATTCAAACCCACCAACTGCTCCGAGAAGGCAGGATGAGGTGGTTGCACCCATTACGATGCACAATTTCAGAAACCTTACGCAGGGTTGCTATAAGCCGGAATCAACTGACTGCGTACATTTGGCTTTTAAGTCATAAATGAGGGAGCCCAGACTAAAGGGCAGTATTGTCTGAGCTCCTGAAATGTGACCTTGCTCTAGATGGCTAGGGTCAGAGCAATAATTGCTACATGGGCAACTGGTGTCACACTGAATGGATAAGTGGAAATTGTGAGATTTATTGGCAAAATATCATATTCCTAAAAATATCACGGCTATTACAGATGATCGTTGAAGGACATGAACATTTTACTGTGTTCTCTATGTCTGTATGTTTATAAAGTTCAGTCATTAAAAAGTTAAAAAAAAAAAAAAAGTAAAAAGGTGCCTGTATACAAGATTAATGTGCAGCGGAAATTAATAGCACAATTAAAATGTTTTCAAATCTCGACTTAAAAAAACAAACAAAAACCCAGCACTTTTCTGTTACAATTATATGGATTGTCAACACTAATCTTTATTATATTTTCCAAAAGGGAAAATAAAATGCAAAAATACAGAAACAATGCTAAAACGTCTACAATTAACACCAGGTATTAGACAAGAGATCTTAAAATAGTATCTAAAGGTGAATTGCCCTTTTCCTTGCTCAAGACAGAGGTTATGAACCCACTATAATCGATAATGCGTAAAATAGTGCTTGATATGAAGGTATGAAAATCTAAAAGTTGATCACGTTCGCTTTTCTCCAGACAGAAAGCACTGGTCTGTTCTCTGAGCATTTCAGAAAAATACGGTAATTCCAACTCACCTGTAATTCAGGCTTCCTCTTCTCTTCCTGGGACATGTCAGTAGCCTTAGAAGGCAAACATCCGGGGAGAAAAAGAAACGGGGAGGGAACAGACATCCCATAATGCTCCCAGAGCAGCTCTTCTGACATGGGCCAGAAGGAAGGAGCCACTTCACTGAATTGTGGCCCCAACACATCCTCGCTGAAAATGGGGCCTGGGTACCCCTTTCCTCCCCTCTCCATATCCTCCAAAGTCTCATCTTTTGTCTCCTGTCTGTGAGTCAGTGTCTTCATGGTGGTCCTATCTTTCCTGTGCTTCCAAGCCGAAATCTTCTCTCAGTCCCGAGTTCCCCAAGCAGAAGGATCAGCAGCCGTGTAATGGTCCCAGACTCAGTCCCATAACTGCCTGGGAACTGCTGCAGGACAAGTATTCATCTGCAGGCAGATGTCTGCTGCCGGGTGACTGCTCCACACCTCAGGTAGGAATGTCCCTCTTTTCATGCATCCAGGGCCTGTGGGAGGGAGAAATGACTTTAGATCCTAAATGGGTGCTCCACATTCGGCTTCAACGGGAGTGAGGGGCTCACACCTTCAACTAAGCAGTCATCTGACACCCAAAGGAGAAAAGCAGGGATTCAAGGGCAGAGTTCAGATGGTTAGCTGGGTCTTTAAAACCATTCAAACAAAGCTAAGAGAAGGGAGACATCGGGCAGTGGAAGACATGACAAAATAATAATAACTTATAAATTATCAAGGGTTTTGTGAGGGAGGGTGGGTGAGGAGGGAGGGGGAAAATGAGGAGCTGATGCGGGGGTCTTAAGTGGACATTAAATGTTTTGAGAGTGATGCTGGCAACAGATGTACAAATTTGCTTGACACAATGGATGGATGGATGGTATGTGATAAGAGTTGTACGAGCCCCCAATAAAATGAATTGGGAAAAAAATCATTGCAATGGAGTTCATTCTGACTCGTGGTTACACTACCAGGCAGAAGCGCATAGACTCCCACCCCTGGTTTTTCACGGCTGTAAATATTTACCCCAGCAGAGAGCCCCCTGTACCTTTCTCCATCAGCAGGGCTGGTGGGTTGCAAATGGTGACCTCCGTCACTAACTAGGATTCCCCCTGAGCGCCTTCAAGGGGCAGAGGCAGGCCCGGCCGCGGGGTTGGAGACCATAAGCTATGGGCCCGACATCAAGACCACTTGATCACCCCTTGGCGGTGGTGGCAGCGGAGGGGAGCATGCTTCTCTCCGGCCATCTCAGAGGCAAGTGCTAGACACCAGCAGGTGAGGGAAAGGAGGGTGGCAGCACTGCCCACAGGGACCGTGGGGATGGACCAAAGCAGAGGGAAACCAAACTCAGCTAGCCCAGGGCAATGACTGGCATATAGGAGCAGAACCGAGGAGAAAAGCTGTTCCAGGAGAGCCCCATAGGGGAACCAAGTGGATCGAAACCTTTCAGCAGCCCCGGGGAAGCGATCGACAAGGAGGTACTGCCCTGGATCAGACACTGGATACCAAAGGAGAGAGAAGGTCATGCCATGCAGACAGGACCCTGGGATCATAGACTCCCCACCCTTATCCCCGCCCCCTCGGTCACCACCACACAGCCACCTTCCCACCCCGCCCCCATGAAAAGCATTAGGAGGAAATAATAAACGAATAGGGAGCTGCTGGCCTTACACACACACACACACACACACACACTTCATGAGGCTACAAGCAGAAATGCAGTTAAGCTGCCTGAACAAAGGCCAAGCAATGCGCTACAAGGGAAATGATGGGGAACGATGTTTTGGGGAAAGCTTATTTTTGAATCGTTCTCAATGTTTCCAACTTTTTGGAATGCAAAGGTATATTTTTTTCATAAAGAAGCCTTTGACGACCGGAAGTTTAAATGCCAAATCTACTTCACCAGAATCTCAATAAAAGAGACATTACCTGATCCTGCCCACCAATCCTTGTGTCACTAAATGACAGGGACTTAAGATTTGGATCCACCGCCCCAATTTTAAAAAGTCATGGCGGTGGTCAAAACCATCTAACCAAGACAGGGCTAAGGTGTGCCTGACTCAAGTCATGGCATTTTCAATGACCTCATGTGTGTGTGAAGAATCGACACATTTGAATTGTGGTGCTGGTGAAATATACTGAAAGTACCATGAAATGCTACAGAACAAACTAATGTCTTGGAAGAAGTATGGCAAGAGTGCTCCTTAGAGGCAAGGATGGCAGGACTTTGTCTTAAATACTCTGGACAGGTTCTCAGGAGAGACTAGTCCCTAGAGAAGGACATCATGCTTGGCAAAGTAGAGGGGCAGCGAAAAAGAGGAAGGTCCTTGTGTTAGGCTGGGTGCTTTAGAGGAAACAAATCCACAGGAACTCATGTATAAGGGAGAGT